AGGGGAACCGTTAAAGCCAGGTTCGATCACAAATTTAATTACATTAAGGTTAGAGTCTGATTAGAGTCCGTATTAAATGAGTTTTAAAAGTAAAATCATCTGCCAAATATTTTTTCTTAATGCACGAAGCTAGGTTTAGACAATCGTTTCTTGTATTTTTCGCATTTTTTTACTTTTTATGCTTCGTCGGGATGATCCGTGTAAACAAAAATTCATAATTTTGATTGGTCAAAATCTTGCGATCGAACCTGGCTTTAACGGATCCCCCAATTAGGTTCTTATTTTGATTTCCTATTTTGGAAATGGAAATAAACATGAAACTGGGCTGAATTATGCTGATTATGGGCCAAAATTATTATTATTTTTTATAATGCTGGTAATAATATGATATATCACATTCAAATTATAATCGTATGCCCATATGATCAGTAAAATTATGCAATTCCGGCCTCTTTTGATCGTCGCTCTTAGCCAATCAAAATCGAGGATCTCCGCGGGCAATCGCCTCGATTTTGATTGGCTAACGGCCGAAGATCATCAAAATTTTGGCCCGCATTACATAATTTTTAAATTTTTAAAAAATAAGCCCGCATTATGGTAAAATTGGCCCGAGAACAATTTTCACTTACAGCTATTATCATAATTCCTGGGATACCTGTAAATATTTGCCGAATGACTTTTCGGCCGATCCGGTTAAGTATAGGTTTCGGGAATAATAAGATTCAGTAACAGATATAAGTAACAGATATATTAGATACGTAATCTAATAAGATCAGATGACTAATACATTACAATAAGACTAAATATCGACATGCATACTTGTCGCACTTGTAAGTCGTAAATTCAATTCTTTGGTACGATCCATTTTCGCTCAAACGAAGCCTTTATACATTTCTAATTACTTTTTGACGAAAATTCGGTTTTAAAAATTGTGTAAAATTTCAATTCCTATTCTTTGGTAAGATCCATTTTCGTTCAAACAAAGCCTTTATTTATTTCTAATTATTTACAACAAAAATTAGTTTTTAAAAATTTGATTTAAATTTCGATTCCTATTCTTTGGCAAGATCACTTTGAATTCATTCGTCATAATTCTTCACGCATTCTCGACAAATATTAATAATATCTTGGTCGTTTGGAATCCTAACCTGAGATTCATTTTTAGACCAGTCGACAAATTCATGATCATATTTAACTTTTTAATAGCGGCACCAATATATCTGTTATAAAGTCTAATTTCCTTTTTTATATTTCTTGTTAAGGTTTATTGGTTGACATGAACAGTTTTTCCATAAATTTTCGCACAAATTAACCACATCAAACAAGTTGGACAAGCATTCGAACGTAAATTTAAAATCGTTGACATTATTGTTATGACAATCGTAAAATGATCATTACAATACAAAAATAGCTTTTATTAATTATTTTATTATACGGATCATGCCGAATCAATAACTTAATCGCATCGGCCGAAAAATCATTCGGCAAATCGATTTCGTTAGTAAAATTCTGAGTAATTTTTTGATCGTCGCTCTTAGCCAATCAAAACCGAGGATATGCCGCGCATTTTTGTGCAGCACCTCAATTCGCACAGATCTATCTGCGCATGCACCCCAAAAATTTTTTAAGCTCGACGACTTTTGATTCCATAGTTAGATGCCAACGCTATGTAAACTTAATTTTGAAATTAAGTACGTACTAAAAATACATAATTAGTTTTAATTAATATTTACTCTCAGACCATTCCTATGTTTCCATAATTAGATTATGAATTCTTAAAAGAATTTTACCTTGTATATATTAAAAAAAAAAAGTTTTATAGCCAATCAAATCCACAAAATGACAGTGATCATTCTAGAATATGATTTTCTAATTTAGGGGTCCTTAAAGCGAGCAAATCACATGATATACCATTTTCATTAACTTTAGAGTTAGCGCCCACTTTTGGTTAGGGTTAGTAAATGCCGATCGTTATACGTAGTAAAAATATATACTGTAGTATATCGTGAAAATCAAAACAATACGAATCAAGGGTATAAAAATACCCAAAGTTACGTCTTAAATATAACATTTACAGTTTTCTAATGCTAATATCAAAATTCAAATATCTATTTATGATTTTTTAAAAACTAACTTTGCACATTGTGCATTCTACATATTCAAACAATTGATCTTTTTATTTAACTCATTAAAAAAAATTTTTTCTTATATAAATATAGAGTCTTGTTGACACCACCCCCACTTTTGTTAATGGCACCCCCAATCTAAAAGGTGCTCCGGAAGAGGTATTTCTATTAAGTAAATCCTTATTTTGACCTTAATTAAGGTTGTTCATCAGACCTTTCCGCTTCTAATGGTAGTAAAATCATTAAAATCGGACTGGTAGTTTCTAAGTTATATATATCCGAAGTTAGTTAACTTTTATTTACTTTAAAAAAAACTACTGGCCTAATTTTAATGATTTTGCTACCATTAAAACCGGAAGGGCCTGCTGAACAACTTTAATTAAGATCAAAATATGGATTTACTTAATAAAACCACCTTTTCCGGAGTAGTTTGCTAATCCCGCCCAAATTTTAAAAATGGGCTCCGGAAGAGATATTGTTATTAAGTAAATTCTTGGTTTGACATTAATAAAGTTGTTCATCAGGCCTTTACGGTTCTAATAGTAGTAAGATCATTAAAATCTGACTAGTAGTTCCTAAGATATATATATCCGAAGTTAGTTAACTTTTATTTACTATAAAAAAAAACTACTGACCCAATTTAAATGATTTTACTACCATTAGAACCGGAAAGGCCTGATGAACAACCTTTATTAAGGTCAAAATAAGGATTTACTTAATAGAAATACCTCTTCCGGGCACTTTTTAGATTTGGGGGTGCCATTAACAAAAGTGGGGGGTGGCGTTAACAAGACTCTAAATATATGTATCAATATACATAATCAATATATGGACCCCACAGCAGAAAGAGGTGATGGGCCAAAAAATTGAATATTTTAATTTTATAAAAATTTTGTCGATTTGATTCCTCAAGATATTGAATTTTTTTAAAATCATTTTTTGGTTCATCTTCTTTTGCTGTGGGGCCCCATATGTAGTTTATTTGTAATCAATAATTCTTAAATTACTTAATAATATGTAATAATTTATTAAATATGTAAGGGTCAAATTTTAGCTATCGATTACATAAATAATTCCATTGCCCATCCCTAATCAAAATCATAATCACATATGTTAAACTTATTTTAAATGTTCTTTTGTAATGCCACGTTGTACGAATTTGAAAGTCACTTTGTAAGAATTTAAAAGTCATTTTTGTACGATTTAATGAATTTGAGTGTTAAAAGAGATATTATAAAATTAAGTTACAGCTGTTTTCAAAAGTTTGAGCAAGTGTAAACGGGAAAACTAACACGATTTCCTTGATTTTTATGATTTCAATTTGATTTCTCTTATTCGCAGAATCAAGGAAATCAGAAGTCATGTAATTTCTATGATAAAATGGTTTGTAATGACTTACATCTTTCTGGAAACAACTATAAATCGAATCCATCATTTAATGAAGGGCCTAACAGTTAGTTCTTAAACAAATATATTAGATAACTCAAATAAATCTTTGAGTAAATTAAAAAATCTCAAAGTAATATTAGTTATCAAAAAAGCAATGTGAATACGGTTTACATGACATTTTGATTTGTGTAATAGAGCATAAAATAAGTGACACTGCTAATAATTATGAAGTAGAAGATTTAGTTTTTAAATTTACAAACTTAAACAAGATTAAATTAAGAATTAATGTAAAAATATATAGTGTACTAATTTTTTAAATTTCATTATCTTCATCTTTGAAAAAAATAATGATTTTTTTTATAAAAAACAAACATTCAAACTTTGCTAACCTAACAATCGTTAAATATGAACCGAAATAGCGCAGCTACCTTAAGTGGACAATAATAAAACAATAAATTAATACTTAATACCAATGTATTAAATGTATAAGCAATATGAAGTAATTACAGTCTTTAAGTACCTCTAAGATGCTCTGTTATTTCTTGTGTATCGATTAATGTGCTACAATATTTATTTTGAAGCATTGATAAAGATTTTAGTGTTGTCTGTTTAATTATGCTATCAGCCTCAATGAATTTCTCTTTTATATCAAATTCCTCATCTGTCAAAATTTCTGATTCTAAAATTGTTTTCCATTGATTAATTTTTGAATGAACGTATTCAGCAGTAGTCCGATTTTGTGGATTTGAATCCATGCATTGTTTAGCTAAATTAATATAGCACTCAGGAGTTCCTTCGGCAAATTCTGGACGTAATCCATCATCGCAAATTTTTAATTTAAGTTCAAGATCGAATTTAGACCCATCGTAAGGCCTTTTTCCAGTTGTTATTTCTGTCATAATAATACCTAACCCATAAATATCTGCTTCTTGAGTGTGTTGACGGCCCTGGAGAACTTCTGGAGCAACATATGGAATGACTCCATAAATACCTCTTTTTGGATCATCCTCTTCTTGTTTTCTAGATAATCCTAGATCCGTAATGTATGATCTTATATTTCCATCAATATCTTGGTTTAGTAAAATATTACCGCTGTGAAAATCATTATGAATAAGTCCTGTTCCATGAATTCGAGATAAATCATGTGTTATATCTGCAAGTTGTTTTAATTTCTTTTGCCATACAAGTTCTCTAAAATTTTTAGTTAGAAAGTTATGAAGATTTCCTCTATTGGCATATTGATATACCATCATATATTGACCAGTCTTTGTTCTTTGAGTTAATCCATAAACTTCAAGTGCACTACCCTCTAATCTACATTGCATATGATTTTTAAACTTGAAAGAATATATGAATAAATTTTTGTAAGATTATATCCTATAGAATTATTATTACCGTATTTTGCGTGTAATAACGTTATTACTATTTGAAAAAATACGTTTGACATAAAATAACTCCTACGTGCGTCCTAAATACTGTAACGCACCTCAAATATATGAGATATTGTTATCACCACATATAACTTTACACACAAAAATTATCAAAAGCGATTCAAATATCGTACATACGCATCATCAAATAGCGCTATTACACCAAAATACAGTAAGTAGATAATTTTGGCTCACCTCATTTAAAAACTCGGAAGAACTTGTTTGAGAACCCGGCAATGTCTTAAGTGCAACATCACAGGGTTGTTTACGATGTCGTACATAACCCAAATTATTATCACCTTCGACCATTCGTTTACCATCTAACCAACTTGATGAATATACTGTACCAAACCCTCCTCTGCCAATCTCTTTTACATTATCTAGTCTATTATATGGAATCCATTCAATAACATTCCCAAATGTTGTAGCTTTAAGTTGAAATTCCTTAATGCAATTATCTATGTTCTTATCGCCACTTGTTTTCTCTTCTATTCTTGGAGGATCGCACAATTGACACCAAGCTGGAGAGGTGTTGTGTCTCTTGCAGTGCTCACATATTCCATTAACGGTTTTTCTTTTAAAATTATAAAAATCAATTACAAGCATGTATTGACCAGTCTCCGTGTTTTGAGTTATTCCATGTATTCTATATTTCTTTGATATATAATATGTATATATACATTATTACAATTAATTAAGCAATACTTCAAGTAAAGTTTGGAACCGATTTTAATTATGTTAAAATGGTTTCAATAGGTCATATGTAATAAGACCGATTTCAAACTCTCAAGCAATAAAACTAATAATATAAGCAATTTTAACTTACATTTTCTAAAAGTTCCATGGTGTTCATTTGAGAATAATTCAATTTCATAAGATCAACAGATGATATAGTGCGTATATATTTTCCGGATTCACCTTTTGTTCGTACACCTTTGGTCCAGGTTGCCATGAATACAAGTTTTGATTCTTCTTTAATTTCTTGTAAATTAATTAGTTCATCGTATGGAATCCATTCAATCACTTTTTCATATTCTGTAGCATTGGATTGGAATTCTTTAATAAAATTATCTAAATTTTCATTTCCACTTGTCCATCCTTCAGTTGCTTCTTTAGTGTCACAATATTTGCACCAAGTTGGAGAAACATTAGGTCGCTTGCATCTTGTACAAGTTCCATAAAAATTCCATCTTTAATATGAAATATAAATTATTAAGGTTATATTAATTTTTTTGATTATATTTGGTTTTAACAAAATGATAAAATATATTAATTGCATATTAATCTTTTATAATTGATTGGTGCTGTTATAATAAAAATTTATACTTACAAACTAATAATATTTATAAATTGAAAGTATATATTTAATTGTTGTTTTTCTTATTAGTATTAAATGTCACGGCTAAAGCTGGAAACTAGGGACTTCGATTTAAAAATAAAAGTCCTACCAAAATCCACTTATACTTTTATTATCAAAACTAATCTTAAGCCCTAATCTAACTATTAAAAAAAAGCCAAGAAAATCACCCCAAAAATTTTGAAAATTTCATATTAAAATAATTAAAGTTCTAACTTCAGCCATTTCCAGCTTCAGTCGCGACATTAAATAGTTAATGAGTCTTAATACAGTAATACTTACTCCCTTTAATATTAACAATAAACCATGATTAGGAGGTAATATGTGATAGTAAATACCAATTTTATAAATTAATTTGAATTTTGTACTAACCGACTAATGAATTCAGAATAACATTTATTTGTTTAAAAAAATCAGTTTAGATAAATATTATTGTTATACTCACAGGATAAGATACAAAGTTATTCTTTTAAACACAAAATAAATCTTAAGGCTAGACGTGATAAGCGAAAGGAGTGGAACCAAATGATAAACCAAAATTAATTTGGAATTGTAATAAATGATCTATTTAAATAATAATATTATGAACCATGATATTTGAACAGAAAGTTAAATTAATAAATAAATATATGAGTGTCATCAACGTTTGATTCTTTAATCGAACCTTACTCGTGAATAGAAGCAACTTCATAGATTATATAATGTTAATTTATTTACTCACTTGAATAATAATTTGTAGAATATTTCTAAAAAATATATCGAAGAATGCACCACATATAATCTCAACTTTAAGATTATATTCAAGTATATTAAATTTATTAACTTGCTCATATCGATGAAAACTTTTGAGTATATCTTTCAAAGTTATTAAACATATATAATCAGTCATTATCGAAATAATGAATATGACTACTAAACCTCGATGTTCCTCAACCAGTTTTTTGAAATTATCATCAACATTAACTCCTTTATAAATAGCACCGGTTACTATACATAACTTGATTAATGGTGGAACACACAGAAAGAATATACTTCCAAATGTGGTTCAAAATGTGGTTTAACAAAAGATCAAATATAAAGATGACAATAAGTTAGCATTAATTTTAATGGTAATAGAAATAAATTTATTTAGCATAAATACCTTGTCCAATAAAGCATCGGTACATCATTAGAGTAGTCGATAACAAAGAAAATTGAGAGAGCAAAATTAAGAATGGTTAATAGTATATCTACAGCAAAGCTTATTATCTCAAAACATATTGATTTTAACTTTTCAAATAAAATTTTTTATTAATATTCACAATAAATACTTTTAAAAGAATATTAATTAAATATAATCACCTTATAACTTAGCGCATGGAATAATGAATAAAGAGCTATTAAAATCACAATCCCGATGATTAGTAGTATTTTATATTCATTCCAATAATTTCTAATAATCTCTATTATACAAAATTAGTCATGAAATTCAGTTTTTCTGTATTTTTTACATGAGATCATTATCTTACCAATTAATTTAAAGCCGTAATCTTGGTCTAAATCATTTGTCACACCGGAAGAGAAGGTAGTAATATTCTTGTAAATAATCATACTATTTAAATCCGAAAATACTTCAGAAGAACTCCTTTCAACTTCATTGTTTGACATCTCTATCCGGATTGGAATAACTATTTGACCATGTACTTCCTGCCATTTATTATTTGTGCTTAAACAGGATCGATTTACTGGCAGTTTATCAGCAAGTTCATTCAATAAATCATCAATGTAGGCTGATTGATTGTTATGTATTAAGAATTTTTTGGAAGCGTCTATGGTAAGACGTACTGAGCCCATAATGGGTACATCTACAAGGGAATATTATGAGAACCATGTGAATATACTGTACTATATGCACATATAATTCACGCATTACCTGAGAATATTTTCTGATTATCTAAGTTATTTAAAGTCCAAAAGGATAAAATGAATACTAAAATTTTCAAACAATTTAAAATGTAATTAAAAATATTACCTGATTTAAGAATCCAAATACCATCATGAATTCCTTTTAGAGGTTCATTAGTTTGAACACGTTTGACAAAATTATTATCCATCGTCACAAAATATTGTTCGCCATACTCGTTGAAGATGTTATTAATAACTGTTATACTAACAGTATATTTATCGATTTTGCAGAATTTATGCATTTTTGCTGAAACTATTTGTCTAATACTGTGATCAGATGCTTTGTAGATTGTGATTTTGCCAGTTGATAAAGCAATATTATAAACGAAGGTGATGTT